GTAGTCCAATGGGTGCATCTAGTGAGGGCCTCTGCCGGGAGGAACTCTCTACAGGATTCTGTGGCAACACAGGGTATCACATGGCAAGAAGAGCAAGAGCTCTTTCATGTACTCAGCTTATAAAGCCACCAGTCTATGCCCATGACAACCCACTGCTCCAGAAATGGATTAATCCATTCAGGAGAGCATAGTCCTAATGATCCAATCATCTCTTAAAGGCCCCACCTTTCAACACTGCCACATTAGGAATCAAGCTCCCAACATGAGCTTTGAAGGGGACTAATATTCAGTCCACAGCAGCACCCAAGGTGAGAATGGCTCTGAAAGCATAGAGGATGAGGAACTTGGATATCGCAACACCTTTTCTCCTTTTATCCTCCCTCTAGGAGCTGCATTTGGAAGGCTGGTAGGAGAGGTCATGGCCATGCTATTCCCTGATGGTATTTTATTTGATGACATCATCTACAAGATCCTGCCTGGGGGGTATGCAGTAATTGGTGAGACACATTCCCACCTCTCTCTAAGCCAACACTGAGTACCCCAAATGCCCACACTCAAACTCTTCCACTACGTTTTCATACCAGGCTACACTATATGGTTTTAATTTAATGCTATTTAATTCAACTCATTCAAATAATCAACCCTTGGCTCTGGCTCTCATTAGCTTTCATTATACTTCTGTGAGCCTTAGTTTCCCAATATAGAAAGGGATTATGGAGATTAAAAGAGATAGTAAGGATGAAACACCTAGAATTGTGTCTGGATGTTTGGTGTTTTTTCTTTCCTTCCTCAGAATCATGGAACCAACATTGCAGGTGACTGGCTCAGATACACTAAGCCTGAGATGTAGTGATATTGATGGAGACTAGGGACACAGGACCAGGAGCTAAGAAACATGGGCTCTTGATTATCTCTGCCACGTGTTACCTGGATGATAATGGAGCATGTTAGCTGCCTTTCTGAGCCTTCTTTATTCTAAAATGATTTCTGAGATACAGCCATGTCTAACACAGTGGCCAGTATAAGCCTCAGGATTGTTATGCCTCCACTCTCCCTCGCCTCTTCACCAAAACCCCATAACATCTAAGGCCATGCCTCCCTTAGATAGAAAAACACCAACCAGGTTTATAGCTCATATGGTACCCTACTCCCCCATCATAGCTCTTTCTTTTACTACTATTACTTTCATCAGTAAGAGTCATCGGCTCTTATTCCCCATCTTCATGCCTGTCAGGTGTCCCTCCTCATCCTCCCTGGTGCATACATACATTTCCCGGTATACACGTCCTGTGGTAGTTTATGTTCTGAAGTATGTTGTATGCACCATCCAGTAGTGTCTTTCCTCCCAATATTTCCCTTTTGTGACTTTTTCTTGTTACGTTTTCATATATGCCTTCCCCAACATTTTCCCCATAGGATATCTCTCTTATGTTTAAATAAGAAATATAGTTAATGCACAAAGGTCTACTTTGGTTGATGGGAAAGCAACCAAGAATAAGCAAGAGAGATTCTATTTTTAGAGAGCTTATAGAATCATAAAGTTTTAAATCTGCAAGGGTAGTAGAAATCACTTACTGACCCCCTTCACTTTACAAATAAGTGCACAGGATTCCAGAGGAGTTAAGCTCTGCTCATACAGTTGAGAAAGAGTAGAATCAGGATCTGACGCAGTTCTCATTGCTCCAAGTCATAGCACAATTCTTGGGTTTTCACTCTATTCACTCATTAATTGTCATCAATACCTGAGGCCCAAGGTAAAATTTCATAACTGGTTTTTAAAATGCTCAGTTAAGAACAATCCAAACTTTCAAAATCAAGGAACACATAGAACATCACTATCTTCATTTTATAATAAAAATTTTGGCACACACAAAGATTCTGTGACTTGATGCAGGCCATTAAATGAGATCCAAAGGATGATGTTCTAACAGTTCAGAATTCTAACCCCTACTCTTGACAAATCGGCACTGGCCAGGGTCATATCTCGCCATCCTATGTCATTCCCATCACATCCCCACATGCCCTCTATGCCAAGAATGGAGCCCTAACCCTCAGGTGTATTCCTGTGTTATTCTAGGAGCAGCAGCACTGACCGGTGCCGTGTCCCATACAGTCTCCACAGCTGTGATTTGCTTTGAATTAACGGGTCAGATTGCACACATCCTACCCATGATGGTGGCTGTTATCTTGGCCAACATGGTGGCTCAGAGCCTGCAGCCCTCCCTCTATGACAGCATCATCCAGGTCAAGAAGCTACCCTACTTGCCTGACCTTGGTTGGAACCAGCTCAGGTCAGGGGCAGTAGCTTGAATTAGTTCAGATTTGATGGGGGTGGGAGGTTCTGAGGTTGAGACTGAGGTTAGGGTCAATGTTTGAAAGAACTATTTTTAATTATTTTTATGTTCTTATGTACTTAAATATTGTGAGTGACCAAATGCATGGCAAACCTCATGGGAGGAGTAGAGGGTTAGCAAAGGGACAGGCATACAGTGGAGCTAACCCACCCTGCTTTCTCCCTCCATAGCAAATTTACAATCTTTGTTGAGGACATCATGGTACGTGATGTGAAGTTTGTTTCGGCTTCTTGCACATATGGGGAATTGCAAACCCTGCTCCAGACCACGACAGTCAAGACTTTACCACTGGTTGATTCAAAAGGTTAGTGAAAAGGAAGGAAGCAGACTCCTGAGCTAGTGACCTGAAAAAGGGTTGCATAGAGGTAGGGAGGCACTGTGATGTGGGCTTATCTTTAGGGGCCATCTGATCTGCTATGGCAGGCCCAGCCTGTGCTCCTTAGGGAATATGAACAGTAAAAAATCCAGTTAAAGAAATATAGTTAATTCTTATTATTCATGGTAGGTACATTCTATAAAGTCACTATGAATGCTGAATTAGTGAATACGATACTGATTAATTGCTCCTAAGGGAAATATAGTGATAGGTTCCTGTGAGCCTCCAGTTACAACATTTTTGTCAACCAGTCAACACATAACCTTGTTTTATTTGTGTTTCCGTTTAGAGACACCTTATTTAACAGCTACCATTGATTCATTAACACTGAGCTCATGACCAACAGCACTATAACTCGTGCCCAAATGAAGCTTACCTTACACACATATTTTCCCATTAAGGCATATCACAGCCTTCTTGTGCTTAGGAACAGTAGACAGAACTTTAACATTATGCTTGGGGGCTGTTTTCAACAGCAAAATCACCAACACAAAGCACAAAAATTGCATTAAATAGACTGCAAAAAGAACACTTGTTTACAATATGAAAGTCGAAACAAGAGGCAGAGCACTCCACTGCTTGGTTCATCCTCAGCTGGGAACGAGGGTTGCTCTGAGCATGTCTGAATTACAGCAAAAGCAGCTGTAGTATTGATTTTGGGTTACAAATCTATTATCGTGAGTAGGTGAATTCACAAAGAGGGGATCTGAATAATGTGATCGACTGTAAATCTCATAGCCCCTTACATGGTTTCCTTTGCTACTTGACTAAATCATACCTGTTCATTAGGGCACAACCTAAGGAAGAGAAAATTCTTCCATGTGGAGGGGTGAATGATTTTAGTAACTGGTGATTTCACATTTCTCTTCTTTTACCATCCTTTCTGCCAGCATTTGGTATTTCATCCTGCTTTGTATTACTTTTTATCGTGTTTTACATATCTATGTCTTGTCTTCCTCATTCTATTAGGGTATTTCTTGGGGGTGGAGACTATAACTTCTATAGAACCAAAGTACCTTGTTATAGAGATTTAGCAGATATTAAATAAATACTTGCCTAGTGTTGAAATGGGTGTAATAGAGAAAAATCATGTAGGGCCATTTGGAGCCATTAAGATTGTTAGTTCTGCTTTCAGATTATGAGAGTATTCAAATTTCTCAAATTAGATTAGCTCAAATATTTTCCAAATCTCAGATACCTTCTAGGTACCTTCAAAAGCAGTGGCTCTTCATTGGAGCGGGGGTACAGCCAATGAGGTGCAGGGTTTTCATAATAATCATTAAGACTTAACTGTAAAATGTATCTCAATAACACTGCCTCAATTCCATGGCCTTAAAACTTAATGAAAATGTTAATGATAGTAGCAGAATTTCTATAAACACATGAGAGACCTTCTCAAGAAAAGGAGGCATTTCGTTTATATCCTAGAAGGACGTTGGATCTTTAAGTGATGGAACATCAGATAAAAAAGGTAGAGTTCCCTTCTTTCCCTTCTTCCAGGGTAGGAGATGCAATGTGCATTGCTTACAGACTTCTTTCAAAGTGTGTTCACATGGCAGCCTGCGTGAATGGCTTTTGGTGTTTCTTTTTATTTGGACAGGGTTGATTAGCCTACTTTAATACCGAGCTCACCTATTTGCAGTCTGTATGAGGGCTGCATGAAAATAAATACAAATTAGCACCCATTAGTGTACTACCCATTTGGTCCGTAAGTGCTACATGGGTGAAATAAAGGGACTGAGTGGGGTCAATCCTGGAGGATTTTCGAAATGAGTTTTTAGGTAGAGAAAGAAAAAGCTGGAAAAAGACAAGAGGCGCTGGGCTTCTGCTCTTCCTGACCCGATCCTGCTGAGCGTTCTGGGGTGGGAGGGTAAGGAGGAGCCCCCCGGCTGAGCATGGATTTTCCCCAGATTCCATGATCCTGCTGGGCTCCGTGGAGCGCGCAGAGCTGCAGTCCCTCCTGCAGCGCCACCTGTGTCCCGAGCGGAGGCTGCGCGCAGCTCAGGACCTGGCGCGGAAGCTGTCGGAGCTGCCTTACGACGGGCGGGCGCGTCTGGCCGCGGAGGGGCTCCCGGGGGGCCGGCCCGAGTCCTTCGCCTTCGTGGATGAGGATGAGGACGAGGACCTCCCCGGGAAGACTGAGGTGACTAAATTGGGAAGGGCCCGAGAAGCGGATAAGTCGGAGGTAAAAGGGAAAGGCAGGGATCGTTGGCGACGTCGCCACCGTTGGGTGACGGCTGGGTTGGGCTGGCCTGGGACAAGTGCCCAGAAAGTAGGAAGGGGGAGGGGAGACGCTGATAACTGAGAAAGCCAGAATCCTGGATCGGGGGCCAAAAATACCAGATCCCCTGCGTCCAGGGACTGAGGGAGATAAGCATGTGGATGATGCTATCAATGGATTTCAAAGGGATACAGGAATTCTAAACTTGGGGGAGGAAACAGAGTTAGATTTCGCAGGATACCCACCAGAAAAGGCAGAGAAGTGTCAGGCAGCCTCTTCTCTGAGACAGAATGTTTGCTGTTTCTTACAGCTGCCTGCTCCTCCTCCTCCTCCTCACCCCTTTCCTACTGCGACACCGAGCCCCGAAGAGCCCAATGGACCCCTGCCCAACCACAAACAGCAGCCAGAAGCAGCAGAGCCTTCAGGTGAAGATCACCTGTCACGCACCCTAGCTCGTGCCTTGTGGGTTACCTCTGGGCTCGCCTCGACCTAACAGCCACTCCTATGAGGAGGTGTGAGGCCAGGGGAGGACAGAAGGGGGTTTTTATTCATGATTCTGCACACTGCTGTCCCAAGGAGTGGAGGCAGAGGTTGATTTAGGAGGGTGGAGGGGAGGGTGTCGGTGGAAGTGAGGCACCTGCGAAGTGCAGTCCTTTGGTGGTGAAATGTCAGGGACCACTGGGAACGGGAGCCCCTGACCACTTCTCCAGGATGGCTATTGCTCTGCTTCCATTTCCATCTGCTCACCACTGCTCTCAGGTCAAAGACTCTCCATCTTCCAGTCCCTGCTGCGCTGCTTACTGGGCAGAGCTCGCCCCACGAAGAAGGCAACCCAGGTGAGAGGAGATGTGACTGGAGGATACAGGGAGAGGGAGCCTGTCTTTGATGAGTGAGGGACCCATGGTTCTAAATCAGGAGGGCAGAGATCCCACCGAGGAGAAGTTTAATCACACGGAAGGAATGATGACTTGCAAAGGAGCCTCTGTGGTCCTGGCCAGGGAGAGGTGGCTATTGTTTCATTGGGAACCATAGCTAGTGTGAGAAGAAAGGGAAAGAACTGGGACTGATGTCTTTCTTCTCTAGGATTCAACGGACTTAGTGGACACCATGTCACCTGAAGAGGTAAGTAAGGGAAACAGCTGCCTGGGTGGATTGTTCTGTCAAATGAAGATATTGCTAGTTTTTCTTCTACCTTCTTTATGGTGTTGCTGTAAGAATAAAATGTAAGTCTAGATGGACAAGTATTTTGAGAGGTTGGAAAAAGGTATGATTGTGGACAGAGTAACGAGAGCATGGCAGGACATGGTGGTGTTCTCAGAGGGACACAGTGGTGTCAGAAAGGGAAAATGGAAGAATAACATCGAAACTCGAGTGGGGAAATCAGCGCCTGGTGGAGGTTACTGTGCTGAATTGACTGGGGCCCTGAGACAGTGGACAACTGGAAAATGTCAGGCAGCGAGCCTGGGAGGAATTGCAAAGGGAAGCAAAGAATGACTATGGTGCCTTGTGGGGACAAACGTCTATGTCCTAAAAGAGGTAGTTATCAACTCCAGGAGAGAGAAAAAGTGAACATACTGAATCCACCTGGATGTGAGGAGTGAACAGAATGTGGAGCAGTGGGTGGGGGCAGGCAGCTGACAGTAGCCATGAGAACAGACCTAGGCGGTTGTGGAGGAACAAGAAGAAATCCATTAGCAACTATTCTATACGGTAAGAGAGAATGCAGGCTGGCTGCAACGGTGGAGCTTGTAAAGCAGGTAGCTGACAAAAGAAACACAGTAGATGTTATTTAAAATAAACATCTTATTGGACATTCAAAATAAATATATATATATATTTTTTAATGCACCAAAGAGAGAAAACCAGCTAGTCAATCAGTGTGGCTATGTGATGACCCCTGGAAATAAAGTGCAGCCAGGGATAAAAAGAAGATAGATCGTACACTTCTAGTGTATGTCCTTCCCAAGGAACATTTTAAGTAGCTACCAACTCCTGTGTGACTCACTGGGACATTTTGGAGGGATAAGATCCAATAGCAGTCAAAATTTAGGATGTTTTGGACATGGTTTTCAGACCAGATTAGATGACACCCCTGACAATATCAAGATGTTGATATTGGCAAACAGTATGGGGACAGTATGGGAATATTGAAAGAATTCATTATAGGTCACCAGAAGTCCCTGCTATGGTTCGTTTAATTCTGCATACTCTGTTCAGAGTACACACAGAGTTCTGGTTCTAACTGGTGCTGAGCTTTTTCAAATAGTGGAACACACCAGACCCAACAGCAACATCCTCCTCCCTTTGGACAAGAGCTTGGGGGTGTTCTTGGAACATGATCAGCAGTGAAGGTTAGAAGCCCAGCTCCACTCCACCAGTTACTGACTGTGTAATCTTGGGCAAACCACTTAATGCTCTATGCCTCTGTTTCCTCATCTGCGAAATGAAGATCACAATAGGTTGTTGGAGAGGATTAAATGAGTTAAGACATGTAAAGCAATTAGAACAATGATTGGCACAGAAGTGCTTGATAAACATGTGCTGAAAATGTTGCTGCTGTTGTTATTACGGAAAGGCAAAAATGGAACCAGAGAAGCCCACGAATGATCATAGACAGGACCAAGAGGACAGGATCAACCAAATCAGACTTAGCAAGGTCTAGCCCCCATCCTGTACATAAATCCTCTCTACAACACACCTGCCAATGGTCGTTCATCCTGTGCTGTGAGAGCTGGTGTGATCCTTTTGTCAGGAAGATGAGAGTTTAGAGGAAGCATGATTGTAGTCCAGAAGTGTCAGGAAAGCACAGATGGAGCATCACTGAGGACCACCCTAGACAATAGAATCAGGTGATGGCCTTTGGTGTTATTCTCCTGTGTTGCTTTGCATTGCTTTTTAGTATATTCCACACTCCTGAAGTTTGAGAGTTGTAAATCTGGACAAATAGGAAAATAAATAAAGCACTACCTGAAAAGCGATTTTAGAAAATTTTAGATTTCATTTATGAAAGCCAGAGATATAGTGGATTATTTGGAAGCTCAAGGATTTCAGTATGCATATCTAAAGTCAAGAAGAGAGTTGGCCTTTGTGCCTTAATGCTTCTATCATAGACAAAAAACCCAAACCAAACAAACAAAAAATAGCTTTGCTCAAGTCATCTAAGTGCCACACAATGCAGAACAGCTCTTCAAATTCAATAAACATTTGCCATGATCTACTGTGTAAGAGGTGAATGTGCTAGTTTCTTCACAATAGGTGGCAATTGATGCCGCGTAACACTCTCGAGCTATCAAGAGAACACTCTCAGGCAGCTTGCCTCTAGTAGGCAGGGTAAGACAAATGCCAATACAAGATTGAGTATGGCCAATGCTGTTTTTGAAAAGGAGAGACCAGCAGAGTACTATAGGTATTAAAAATGGGAGAGAGAATGTCTGATTGGGAGAGTCAGGAAACACATCCAGTGCATGGCGCAGGGTGGGGCAAATAGAGGAAATCCAAGTGGTGAGAACGGCGGGACAAACGGGAAGGCAGGACTGAAGAACCGAAAGCGGTCTGGTTTGATTGGAGCAGCGAATCTTACAGGAGTAGTGGATGATACGACTAGAAAGATAGGTTGGAAATAACAAACGTTTGGGGCATCAGAGGGTGAAGAGTTAAGTGACTAGAAGATGGAGTGATGTTCTGGGTGCCTGAGTGCAGGGTGGATTTGGGGCCTGGTGAAGGGGTAGATGGGAGGCACTGTCCCCTGGGAAGAAGGGGGAAGGCCTGCTGATCTGGTGGATCTGTGGTTGTTCATTGCTTGTTCAGGGTTCTCTGCAGGAGCTAGGAGAGCTGTGTGGGTTCAAAGCCGGGTGTCTGAGGTTGAAGGGGGCTTCCTAACGTTGGTGCCTTTCCTACTCTGCTCTGCAGATTGAGGCCTGGGAGCAGGAGCAGCTGGGCCAGCCTGTCTGTTTTGATTGCTGCTGCATTGACCAGTCCCCCTTCCAGCTGGTGGAGCAGACGACGCTGCACAAGGTGAGTCCTTGCTGACTGCTCAGGGCCACGGGGCAGGCAGGGAGGCATGGGGCAGGAAGATGCTGACCTATGTTCCTTCCATCAGACTCACACGCTGTTCTCGCTCCTTGGCCTTCACCTTGCTTATGTGACCAGCATGGGGAAACTCAGGGGCGTCCTGGCCCTGGAGGAGGTAACAGCAACACGTGTCCCGCTTGAGCAGCAGGAGGGTGGGGTGGGCACAGGATGAGAGTGCAGGTTGGGAAGGGATAGTGTGAGGATCTGCGAAGGCCCCCCCAGGTATCCCTCTCTGCTTCTCACACAGAGATGGGGGTGGGGGCAGCCAGCAGGAGTAGAGAAACCACAAAGACTGTTGTGGCTATGGTCTGAAAGGGACTACACTCTCTGCCCCAGAGAGGACCCCACGCAATCTTCTTTGGATGGCATAGATTTGGGATGGGGTTCAGGGCATGAGACATAACTTCATAGGGGTGCGCTGTGGGGAGGAACACAGAAAGCGGCAGAGGAGGGATGTGGCTGAAGAAGGTCGCTAGGAAGGAAAGGTCAGCAGAGGATCTGAGTCGGGGCACTGGAGATGCATTGCTGTGTAGGCAGACGTCTCGTCACGCCCCCCTTCTTTTCCTTTCCCTGCCTTCCTCCTCTGGCCCTTGTTGTCTGTCTTCCTGCTTCTGCCTTTCTTGACATTCTATAACTTTTCATTCCTTTTTCTTTTTGTTGTTTCTGTTCTCTCCTGTCTCTTTCTCTCCCACTGCCCCATCTTTGTTCTCTTTCCAATTCTGTACCCTCTTTCCCTTTCCCTCTACTCCCCAGCTACAGAAGGCCATCGAGGGGCACACCAAGTCTGGGGTGCAGCTCCGCCCTCCCCTTGCCAGCTTCCGGAACACAACTTCAACTCGAAAGAGCACTGGAGGACCACCCCCGCCTGCAGAGGGCTGGAGCCTGCCTGAGGATGGGCCTGGGGCCACTGGAGCAGGGGGTGTGGCTCCTGCCTCTCCAGAGAGCCCCATGCCACCTCCTTCCCCAAAGCCCCCTTTCTCCCTGGCCCCGGCAAACGTGGAAGGTGAGCTGGAGGAGATGGAGCTGGTGGAGAGTCCAGGGCCGGAGGAGGAACTGGCTGACATCTTGCAGGGCCCCAGTCTGCGATCGACTGATGAGGAGGACGAGGATGAACTGATCCTCTGACTACCTCCCTGGACCTACTCATGAAGTCTGTCGAGAGGCCCATGCCAGAGGGTGGCTTTATGTGGGACAGAGTGTGTCCTGAGGTTGGAGAGGTCACACCCATATCTTGGCCCCTCCCAGGAATTTTCAAATGTGATCATGCTAGTCTTAAAGGAGGAGTCAGAATTTGGGCAGGAAGGAGCCTTGGTCAATTATTTAGACTGCTTCCCCCAGTCCCACATAGGCAGGAGCCCCTGTGAGAGGCCCTCAATATTCCATGGGGCTTCCTGAGATTCCTGCTGTGCGGGTGGGAACTACCCTGCCTCCCCTCTGCCCCCCACAGTTCCCTGGTGCTCTTGTCCCAGCATCTTCCTGTCCTTGCCTGTCTGTCCTTCAGTTTCCACAGGGGGGTGAGGGTGGGGGAGGCCCTGCAAGTGCCACATTGGAGTAGGAGATGGGACCACATCATGGCCTTGTGGACTGCCTGCCCCAGACTGTGCCTCCAAACCATCCACAGCCACATCTCTGGGAGCCCCCAGCTCTCCTGCTCGCCCACATCCGCTGCCCACAGTCTGCCTCCAGGCCCCGTCCTAAAGCCCACTGTCTGTTCCCAGGCCAGGGCCATCACCAGGGCAGTGAAAGGCCCACACATTTCCCTCATTCCTTCCCTGCTTCAAGCAGTGAGATGTGGATGAAAAACCTATAGAAGGCAGCAGCCTGGAAGAGAAAAGGTGCCAAAAACTCTGTGTTAGGGCAGGTGCCTCGTTGCCCAACAATGAGCCCCGTGTAATCATCCGACCCCCTCTCACAGAAGCCCTCCTACTTCCCATCTCACTTCCTCGCATGCCAGCATCCAGAAAATGTATCTTCCCTCTCCCTGCTGTGGTTACAGACTTGTCCTGCCAAGGTCAGTTCTCCTGCCAAGAATCAAGACCCAGAGCAGCTAGGTCACTGGGTCACTCAGACACCAGCCCCCTCTTCCAGGAGTTCCTCAGGCTCCCCTGCCAGGGGCAGAGAGCTGGGAGTTTGTTAGGCGGCGTCCAGATGGCAGGCTGCGTTGGCACTTCCTGCACTTGGACCGTCACATCCTCACCCTCCCCATGTCAGCAGCAGGGAGCCTGTGGGGGTGCTGCTGGTGCACGCCATTAGCCTGCCCTCTCCAGAAGGTGATGCAGGTACTCTGAGCATCCAGAAACCCCAGCTCCGCACCAACTCTGCCCTCCCTCCCTCCTTGTCTGCCTTGTGTCCCCTCTCCGACGTACCCTTCCTTCTCCTCCCCTGTGCCCAGTTTCCTCCATCCCCCAAAGAAGACACTCATAGTTCTGCCCTCCCTCCCTCCTTGTCTGCCTTGTGTCCCCTCTCCGACATACCCTTCCTTCTCCTCCCCTGTGCCCAGTTTCCTCCATCCCCCAAAGAAGACACTCATAGTCAGAGAATGCCACCACATTCCATTTAGTGTCATTAAGCACAGCCGGGAACCCTCTGCAATGTCATTTCCCTCCCACCTCCCCAAGCCAAGAGAGAGCCACTGCAGCCTGGGTAGGGGGACTGGCTGGCAGTGGGCATTCAAGCCTGTGCCCATGTGTATATAATCTGTAATATTTATATATATTTATATAGAATTCTCTCTGCAATATATGTCATAGAATCTCTCTTGGGTCTGGGGTGGGAATGTTACATTAAGAAAACATGCTAAGACTGGCCATAAAAATGGACATTTCCCAGACCTGGAAAACAGAGTGTGGGATATATAGATGGGGGCAAGGAGAGGATGATAAACTCATCCTCCAAGATTCCCTCCTTAACACAAGGAAAAGAAGGAATGTGTGGGGGTGGTGGAGACAGTGAAAGGGGAGAAATGAAAGATTTGGATTTTCATTTAATAAAGTCAATTGGAAATGAAAGTGCACCCCCCGCCCAAAGGAAAATCATTCAGCAATAGCAGTTTCATTCACAAGAATATAAAAACAGCCCCGTTCCAGAATTGCTGTAGAACGTGCTGCACAGCCTTTAACCCCAAAGGAAAGCAACCCTTCCCCACCCCCCAACAGCCTCTTCCTGTACATGCCCCTCCCCTCCCCCAAAATACCCTATAAGCAAACCCCCATGCACCCTGCCCCCAGCACCAGAGAAGCAGTCCCTCCCTCCAGAAGAGTCCTATGAGGATCCCAGGTCAGCTCCTAGAGCTCTCTTCAGAGTGGGTGGGAGCTCCCTGCAAGGGGCAGCCCTCCAACCTCTGGTGGGGGGACTGCCACACCCTGTTCGTGGTGAACGCTCTTTTGTCAGGGATCATTTGGCTTCCTTGGCAAAAGGAGGGAGGAAAGAGAGCTGCTTTAGTCTACCCTTCCTGAGTCCTCAGGGTCCTGAGTGAAAAGGAGCTGCAGAGCAAAGCCACCCACTGGATTAGATGGCCACCATGATCTGGGGGAGGACATGGGCACTAAGGGGTTGAGACAAAGAAGAGAAGATGGCACATTGATAAAGCAGGTTGCACAAAGCAAGGAAACAGGGACTCCATGGGAGGAGGGTAATGTGAACATGCAAAACCTCTGGGACAAGGGACAGCTGCCATGATGGGCATGTTAGTCCACTTTCCAGAGCTCCTGGAAATGAGGTCCTGGGTCTCCAAGTCAGGACACATCATCAAACACAAGAGGTATCTTCTTCCTTTCCGGCAGCACTCGATCAGGTAAGTGGCTGCTCACCCACCGTGGCTGACCATGCCTGCTCCTGCGTCCTCCAAGAACCAACCTCAGGATAATCATTCCCACCTCCCCTGGAAGAAAAGGAGCCCAGCCCTGGTTGCATTTCAGGAGCATGCGTGCACGAGAGTATGAACTCGATGGGGAGCAGGTGATAGATGGACAGAAACACCTCAACTCTCAACCTCCTCAATCCAAGCAATAAAAGTCTGGGGACTGGGATTGAGGGGTAGTTGTGCCAGGGTCTGGGAGAGGATGACAGTATTCCCTTCCCAACAGAGGATACAAGTAGCAGGTCCCCCGACAGAGTGTGGGTAGGACACAGGCCTTGGGGCTGGAGCTGGAGGGAAACAGGGCAATGGACCTCTTAGGCTTCCCTCTCCTTGCCAAAATCTGCCTATGCCCAGGGCAGCAAGTGGGTTACCACTGCAGCGGGAGGGGCACAATGCTCTCATCTTCACTGCCACTGCCGATCCACTCTGCCTTGTCCCCTGCCACCATGCGCTCTCACGGAAGTGCTGGGGCTTCCATGCTGCTCAGCGGCCCCACCAGAGTAGAAACTGGGTGTTTCACCATAAACCATCTTAGAAGGAAGAACACGCTCCTTTGCCCGTCTTCCTCCAGCAGGAGGCCTAAGGAGGGAGGGAGGAATCTGTGAGGCTGTCTCGGGAGTCCTGGAAGAAGCTGACCATGGAGCAGAGGGACCTGAGTGCCCATCCCTCAGCCAACAACCCAGCCCAGCCTAGGGAACGACAGCACCGGACTCCTCCTCCACCCCACTCAACCCTGAGTCCCCAAGAAGTTATAAAAATGTAGAAAAGGCAAAGAGAAAAGTGTAAACAGCTCCAGAGAATAAAGGGTGGGTGGAGGGAGATAGCCCTCATGCTCCCCCCACTGGCTGGGACATCTGCATCCTGTGTCAGCAGATCTGACACTGGTGGCCCCTCACACTCCTCAGGGCCAGGGCTCCCAGAGCAGGGGATGGAAGAAGGCAGAAAGGGAAGTAAGAGCTGGAGAAGCCAGCCCCGTCTGGGTCTTTTCCCAGATCCTTAGGATCCTCCTATAAGCCACTGAATACTCGAGATTCCAGAAAAAGCAGCTGTGTTTGTTCTTGGTCTCATCAGTGACGCTCTTCTCTGGACATGCCTTGATATACAGAATCATGCCTGTGCCCCCTGTAAATCCCAGCTGCCATGTCCACCTCCTCCTGGACTCCTGATCTCAGGAGCCAAATTACCAGCTGCGGGCAGACTCACTACCCTCCGTGCAGACGTGAGCATCTGCCTGTCTGCACCTGGCGAGCCAGGTCCAGCAGCCCCTGAGGTCTGTTCCTCGCAGTTGGGATGAGCTGGGGCCACAGCCAGAGAAAACACAGAGCCGGGAAAAGCAGGAGTGAAATGAAGAAAGGAGGAGTTCAGACAACACAGTCAAGGCTCCTGGAAGACAAAATCAGGGAGAGAAGGATCGCAGTTGGGATGAGCTGGGGCCACAGCCAGAGAAAACACAGAGCCGGGAAAAGCAGGAGTGAAATGAAGGAAGGAGGAGTTCAGACAACACAGTCAAGGCTCCTGGAAGACAAAATCAGGGAGAGAAGGATCGAGATCCGGTCTCCGGCTCACCGCTCTGTGCTCCTGTCCTTGGGCTGCACGTGCTGGAGGCTCCTGGCACGGACCCAGAAGCCCATGGCCATGCCAAGTTCATAACCATCTCCTTGCCTGGGTCTCAGGCCCTGGACCTGTGGTTTCTAAAGTGTCAGCCCGGATAAAAGCCCATCCCTGTCCTCCATTCTCCGGGTGAGGACTGGAGGCTCCTGGGTTCCCCGCTGTCTTCTGCCCGGGGTTTCAGCTGTACGGCTGGGGGAAGGGAGGGTATGGGGTGCAGCCGTGCCCCTCAGGTGGGAGTGGAAGGCAGGCCCTGGGGTGGCAGGAAGCTAGTTGTTGGCTTCACCCTCCTCCTCGTCAAAGGACTGCACACCTGACGATGTGACGTCAGATACCTTCCGGCTGAGAGCAGTGGACATCTCAGGGTCTTCTCGTGGGGAAAGTGATTCCAGGTCCCGGCATCCCGCATCCTCCTCCTCCTCAGGGGCCAATGGCCTCTTCTCCTCCTCAGCAGGGCCTCTTGCCAGGTCCACTCCTCCAACGCTTGTAGCCCAGTCAGTGTCTCCCCCCAGCAAAGGTGGAGGCTCCTGAGCAGAGTATCCTGAGGCAGGCTGGGAAGGCCCCATTTCATGCAAGCTGGGCTGCGAGTCATCAAATGCAGGGCCAAGATAGGATCCTGTGGCTGGAGAGGCGATGAGGGACTGATCGCTTGCTTCCCAGGCATCCGATGAGCCCAGACAGTACATGCCCTGGGACACATAGGAGTGTGGCCATCCATCCATGGGGGCTTGAGCTAGGGCATCTGTAAAGAGAATCACGGAGGTTGGTGGGGGCCAGAGAAAACCAAAGGCAGTGACAGCAGCATAGAGCACTGAGGGTGAGACACAGGGGGCACACAGATCATGGAGGAGACAGTGGGAAAGCTGAGATGGGCAGGAAAGTCTGAACAGAACCAAGATGAGTGGAGGGAGCCTAGAGAGTCAGAGAGGCCCCTGGAGCCCCAGGAGTTGAATTCTGGAACCATCTCTCACCCTGACTCTCCATCAGCTCCTGGTAGTTGTCACTATAGTTGCAGCCCAATGGCTCCTGGGTGGAGTTGACACTCATGTCCTCACCATCCATGGAAGACCAGGCCATGAGTGTGGCCTCAGAGATGGCAAACTGTTCCATGACACCTGTGAGAAGAAATGTGGTTAACACAAGATAGATCAGAGACCCTTAGACAAGTGCAGGGGCGGGGAGATGTTGTAGAGCACTGCTATTCAACAGAAATACAATACAATTTTCTAGCAGCCATGCTTAACAAACTTAAAAAGAAACAGATGTTACTAATTGTAATAATATATCTTATTTCACCCAATATAAGTAAATTATCATTTCAACATATAATCATATAAAAATTATTAGTGAGATCTTTTACATTCTTCAATTTGTATGAAGTCTTTGAAATCTAGGCAGTATTTACACTTACAGTACATCTCCATTTGGACTAGCCACACTTCAAGTTCTCAATGGCCATATGTGGCCAGGGGCTGCTGTACTGAACAGCACAGGCTTCGTAGAGGCCCCCAAACAAGGCAAAATCATGGGGGACTTCCCAGAAGGTCAGATTTAAGATTCCCAGGGAACAGAGTTGGGGGTCTTCTGGTGAGATATCCTAAGGCATTAAAATTAGGGATTTACAGTTTATCTTTGGAGGTTTGTAGGAATTGTACCTAGTATTAGATGGTCAAGGACAGAAGAATCTAGAAGGTAAGTTTCAAGATCAACAGAGAACCCTCAAGGGAGCAACATAGGATTGTGGGTCCACAGTGATACAAGGTTGAAAGTTCAAGGGATTGGGAGGAGAAAGGAGGGTACTATAGGGGGGATGAGTAGACTTGGGGGTCCCTATTCTAGTCACAGCCATGAATAAGTTTAAGCTTCATTGCTACTCCCCCACCTTACCTCCCTATCCCTATGTGTTTGTCATCGATCCCCAGATATTTCTTCTATGACCCACACCATCAACACAAGGATACCTCCCTTCTCTTCCAGACCTGTCACTCTTCCTAGGTATCTTGAGACCTGCCACTAGGGTTCTGCCACTCTTGTAGATACACTACGTGCCTGCCATTGTACCTATACCATTTTCCTAGAACTAAACCTCTTCTGTAGGCCACCATCACCTCACCTAATTCCCTTGATACTTCAGTGATTGTCACAAGTGAGACAAGTAAGTGAATTCAGGGCACCAAATGGTAATGGGCAAAGGTTAGAAGAATTCCAAGGCCTCTCTTTCTCTTATTTCTAGATTCCTGTGTAGAAACAGAGCTTTTTGAAGCCCAAGGCTCCTGTGTTTTTTCCTGTACTGAGGGAGTTCAGGAGTTGAACAGTGCCACAATGTAGAAGAGAAGGCACTGGGAGGGGTGGGTCCACAAATCCCATCTAATTCCCCTCATTTTCTGAGGTTTTAATTAAAAAATTAATTTAAAAAAATGAGGGCACTTATCAGAATTAACAAGTCAAAGAACGTGAAATTAGAGCTGTTTGGAAGTGTTAGCCTATGGTCAACATATGGATGGGGCCAATCCTGCCATAGGGAATCAGATTGGAGGGCTAGTCTCCAGCCATCCTGAAAATGTGTCTCTTAAGGACTTGGGTACAAGTACCTGCTAGGAAACGGGCCTCCTTCTCGCCATCGCTGAGGTCAGAGTAGGCATCTGTATCCCGGCGCACGGACTCGTGGCTGTGCTGCGGCTGAATGGCTGGTGCCTTCCCCCAGCCCTGCCACTCAATCATGTGGGCCACCCGGCCTTGCCCCATGGCAGTGGGCTTTGTCACATGGTCCTTCATGCTTCGTGAGATCCCTAAGGGGCCAGACATTCCCCACATCCTCCAGAAAGTCATACCAGACCCTTCTCACTATCCCCTCCCCAGTCACACGGGACCCCTCCCATTGAGGAGGGTATGCCACATGGCTCCATATACTAGCTGTATGAGGGGTAGCCCAGAGGACGGGAGAGCATTGACAGAAAGGGCAATAGGTCAGGGTGTGGAGATAAAGGTCTTCACCGAGCCTAAAGGAGCAGGAAGACTGAGACTGTAGGGATTGTTCTGTCTGGACCTATGTCCAGGTTGGGAGTCTCACCTGAGAACGATGACTTGGCCAGGGCTCCGATGCCATAGGCGTTAGAGTTTCGCTTAAGCTTCGGAAGAATGGAAGTGGTGTCCTCCATGGAGAGCTGGGATAGGGAACGTGGAGGAAGGGCAGGGGAATGAAAAGGTATGGGGGTGCTTTATGTGTGGAGGAGAGTTCATGATTTCCAGGAAGAAGGACTCAAGCTAGGGCAGGTGATAAGGAAAACTATTATACCCCAGAGTCCAAAGGAGGTATATGGCCCAACCGCCCTTAAGAACTGGGGGTAGATGGAGACCGTGAGGGCTCACAGTGCCTGCTGGAGTCAGCCAGCACCGTGTTCTATGGAACATCTAGGGGACAATGTAAAGAAGAGGAGTAAGGGGGCAATGGGGGGCTCTGAGGACCACTGCACTCACGTTGATGCCGTCCCAGGAGAAATCCGTCCGTGTTTGCTATGAGGGAAGAGGAAATGGAATGGGTACCCCAGGCACTTCCAGGAGTGCATGTCACCCCGCTTTCCTCAGAAGGACTTTCAGGATTACATGAATGGGGAAAGCTTTCCTGAGGTTAACGTAGGGAACTAAGATCTCAGAGTGGAATGTTTAGTGTGTACACAAGTCAGTCTAAGGGAGCGTTTGAGATGTTGCCTCAGAATTTAGGAAGAAAATTCAAGGACCAGGCAGCTAGAGACTGGGGAGCTTGTCCATAATTGTCGTTAGGGTCTCTCAAAGGTCCTTTGGCGAGGGGACAGCTGAGCACAGGGCCTCACCTCGGTAGATGGCCGGTGGAGGCTGCTCCCGTGCAGGGAGCTGGTGCTGTCCATGTTGATTTGATCGACATCCTTCAGGCCCTTCCAGTCCACAGCAATCACCTCGTTCCCTGGAGTGGCCGGAAGGTTAGCTGCTCACCCTCGCCTCCCTGTGCCATTCTCGTCTTCCCCCACAGAACACCCCGAGGACACACCCTGGGTGCATCCAACCCTTCCACACCGCTCCCTTCTGCCAGCTGCCACTCCTTCTGATTACCCATTTCCTTTCATGGCCCTACTGCCCTCACATTTTTGGTGAGAGAAATAATAATGCTTAGCCAAAATATTCAATTTTAGCTCAACCAAGAATAGCAAACCCAGAAAAAGCATCGTATGGCCTTGGTTGTTGTTGTTTACAGGGAGGGGTCAGACGTTGGGTTCTTACAAGAAAACAATTGGCCATTCTGTCCTGAGGAATCTTTGAGGCTTTCTGTATAGGAGCTGGGCTTTTCACCTATTCACATTTGTACAAATAAAGGCGGAACTTCTCTAGGGGGAAGCTTTCTATGTGTGGGCTTTATTGTTGGTGGGTGGGAGGAATACATCTTCCTTAGTGGGCTCTGTAAGAGTCAGTGAATTTATCTGACAAGAAGACTCGGTGGGGATAGAGGTAGGAGAGGTGAGCAAGGAGTTGGGCACGTCCACCAGAAGCAGTGGCAGCAGAGAAAGTGAAGGGTGACACTGAAACGGTTCACCTGACAGTTGGGAGACAAGTGATGGATTAAAGAGGAGAGAAGGGGGGAGTGGAAGGAGAGAGAGAGTTTTTTAAAATAGGAATTAAAAGAACAGGGGCTGGCTGGTTAGCTCAGTTGGTTGGAGTGTGGTGCTGATGACACCAAGGTTGAGGGATCCCGTACCACTGGCCAGCCACCAAAATAAATACATAAATAAATAAACAGAACAGAATAGAATAGGAATTCAAGTCAAAGAGAAGACAGAAGCCATTAGGAGGGGGTAGACAGGGTTTGAGGCCTGACTGGGAAACTGGTGGGCCGATGAGGATGGTCATTTTCATGAGGCCAAAGCTCTTTGGGAAGTGGGGGAGCCTCCTGGCCTGAAGGTGGGGTGGTGCCTACTGCGAGACCTGCGGAAGAGCTACTTGGGTCACTGTAGAGGGATTCAAGCATCCGATGGCTGCCTGAGCCATCTGACCTACAGATCCTTTATACACATGAAGTCTTTTGATTCTGAGTTGAGAGTGGCGGGTCCATTCTTGGAAAGGGGTGCATTGAGTGGGGTCTTGGGCAGACGGTGGTGTTCAGCATGCGACAATAGAACTGGTGCAAAAGGAAGGAGACTGTTGTTAATGGGACTGAGGGAGGTAGGACCGCCAAAGTTGGCCCCTTTCCCTTGGGGCTACAGGGGTGTGGTGAGCTGGGTCAGACCAGAGGCTGTGGCTGGGGGAGGAGCAGAAGGATGGACATTTGGACGCAGACCGAAGGTATGGGGTGGGCACAGAATGATCTCTGAGGAGAAGAGAGATGGAGGGAGGGCAGAGTGGGAGAGAGGGGAGCGAGGGGAGGTGGCCTTTGTGGAAGAGAGAGAGCTGAGTCAGAGCAGGGGATGGGGGGCGGACAGGGAGGGCCGGGGAAGGGGGGGGGGTTGAAAGCAGAGAAGGGGCGATCCATGGAAATAAATCGGGTCTCAAAGCAATCGGGCTTCCTGAGAGTGAGTTTGTTTGTAATAATAATACGAATTATTCTCTCAGCCTGAGGTCACTGAGGCGTGTAGGCGGGAGAAATTGGGAGTTAGAAAGCGGAAAATTGGGGGGTTTGGGAGAGGGCTGGATTCATCTGTTGAGCCGTGAGAGTGGGTGGGTGCCTGGGGTGGGGGTGAGGGGGCGGGAGCACGGCAGAGGCTGAGGGAGAAGACGGATCGGAGGCGCCTCCCCCCCCC